CCACAATGTGTCCAACCACCTAGCAGTCGGTCTTCCTCACACATTCCATGTTCTTATGGTGGTAATGTCTTTACAGCTTTTACTTTTTCTTTTCTGTCCAGCACAGGGGCGGACTGACAACTCATGGGGCCCCTGGGCAATAGGGGATCTTGGGGCCCCTGTGTCCTTGTCCAAACTCAAAAAAGCCTATGAAAAAGGTACCAGGAGCATCTCATGGGGCCCCCTACTGACTGACCCCCGGGCCCTCGGGCACTGCCCAAGTTTTCAAATGGTCAGTCCGCCCCTGGTCCAGCAACATCAACATCAGGATGTCCCATCAGCTTTGATCTATCAGCTTCATAAGTACCGTGCTCACTCTTGGTCTGCTCTTTTGTAATAGTAGCATGATGAGTACCTTCCGACCTAGGGACCATCTTTCAACACCACAGGACAGTTCTCTTTGTTTTCTCATTATCATCAAATTTTCTTGGCATAATACGGAAGTAGATTGCTAGGCCTTTCTTTTGTGCAGTGTACATTTTTTGTTTCTTTGGAGCAAAAAAGAGATCCATACATTACAAACATTTCAAACATTAGTTGAAGGTCCATGGCAAGCATAAGCGATCTAATGGGTAAGTATCATCATCAAAGCCATGGAGTGAAAAAATTAACACAGTACAGTAATTCGAATCGTAATATCAAATTACATGTCAAACAAAGGTGAGACAGATAGCAAATCTGTAGTCCTTAGCAAAGTTATTATTATTTTTCAGCCCCACATTGTGAATCGTGTGAGATTCAGTAAAGCCCGCATTTGGGGACAAAAGAAGTAAAAAGTAGAAAAAAAAGGAAACAAAGAAAAAAGAAATAAAAAAGGGGGGGGGGTGAGGAACATCTCGAGGGATACAAATGGTTGGGGCATAGGTGGGCCAAGGGTTATGCTCATTTCCCATTTCTGGGACGTTCGTCCCCAATAAGACAAAAACTTGTCATAACACTTAAACTGGTTCTAAAGGTCTATACTTTCGTGCTGTGTGCAGTGGTTTTGCACAGAGCAGCCCAGATCCTCTTCTTCTCAGGTCCCCCACAGGTTCTCCTGTCCCCTCCCTCCTGTTGAGTGCCCCCACAGCAAACAGCTTGCTATGGGGCACCCACTACTCCATGTGTCCATTCACATATGGAGCAGTGGCTCAACCCAGCACCCTCTGTCTTTTCAATGGCTCACTGGTTATGATTGACAGCAGTGGGAGCCAATGGCTATTGCTTCTGTCTCAGCCAATGAGAAGAGCGAGTCCCAGGACAGCTGAGACTCCATTGCACATCACTGGATTAAGAGGGGGGCTTAGGTGAGTATTGGGGGGTGGGGGGGAGCTGCACACAGAAGGTTTTTTACCTTCATGCGTAGAATGCATGAAGGTAAAAAAACTTGAGCCTTTAGAACCAGTTTATATTGCGGAGAGCAGTGTAAGTTTGATGATGTTGCCATTGTCACTTGAAACGTGTTCTTCCACCTTCAACACTAGCCCGTCTGCTGCAGCCCAGACAGGTGGTACATTATTAGACTGGTATCTGCACCAGAACCTGTCTGTCTTGGGAGGCCCTGCTGGTAGTAAAACTACCAAAAGCATAGCTTTTGGCTTCATAGACATATGCAAGTCCTGGATGCGCGACAAATCTACGTACCATGTCCAGGCCATATTAGGTGTTGATAATGTCACCACTGTCCCTGCCCCTTATATACATGCAGCTGCGGAGTAAGGAATCACCCACCCCCAACTTATTGGCCTAGCATTGACAGCTAATTTTCAGGTTCGGATCACTAGAGATGAACTCTAGAAGTTGTACTCAAAACAAGCCAGAGAAAGGGCAAAAGGCTAGTCAACAGTATTGCCTATGGTCTCCCTGCAGCTGATATTTTCCCCATTACTAATTCCTCATGCTTTGTTTTGTACTGTGTATTTGTGTGGAGGTAGCCATCTTTATAAAGGCAGGGCTTTGTTTCCTCATATCAGAGCCTCCAGCAAAAGAAACAGTGAGCAGAACAGTATAGCGACATCCCCAAATCTCACTCCAAATCTACACTATTTTTTAAGAGGAATTCCATGCAACAGGTAAATTTTTTGGAGTATTACTCAGGCAGAATTAATATTTCTGAATGTTTGCTATAACAAAGCAAATCTTCACCTGTTAAACTTCGGTCCACTTTGAAAGATACACAGTGGATAACCAAAATGGAAGCTGAAAAGTACAGTATGTATATATCTGCTAACTCAACAGTTAAAGAGGACTGTTGGTCCCCCTGTAGCTGATCTCTTCCCCATTACTGACTTACCGTACCTTAATCTGCACTGTCTCTGGGTGGTCATCTTGGGGGAAGCAGGGCTTTGTTTCCTCATGTCAGAGCTACTCCCATGATTACAGGTGAACTGGTGATCAGAAAACTAATGATCAAGAAGCAGTAGAAGTAGAGTAGATGAAGCACCGTTTCACAGAATGAATAAAGAAGAAGCAGTGAGATCCTTTCTCTACCATTCTTCAGGTACAACTTTCTCTCCAGCAAGGAGTACAGTAAGCAGCACAGTAATGGCATCACTAAATATCACTGCCTATATGGTGAGACTAGCAGAGGCAGCAGCACCTTAGTTGATTTCACACTGTACATACTGTATAAAGCTATGAGGCTTAATGCACAGAAGTGCTTAAATGCAGAAAGCGCACTGGTATTTAAAGTGTATGTGATCCCTCACCTTGTAAAACAACCCATTTAGTTTAAAATAGAAATGAAAAGTAAAATGTGTGTATAGATATGAAAAAAAAACATTATAAACACCTTTTTTTCCCTTTTTAATAAGTAATCACACACCATCTGTTCTCAACTGCATAGAGAGGTGAGGGTGGAGAAACAGCAGTACACTGGTCTTCCCAGTGAATGACTGTGCAGGGAAGGGCATGTCAAGACAAGTTTAATCATTGGAGGAAAGCACATTGAGTTCCCAGCAAAGCTAGAGAGCTGACCACACTGTGCTTTCGTGCCTAGTGTGGTCAGTTTTTTTTGAGGGACTGGCAGGAACAGCAGGTATTTCACACAAAGGAAGCAATACAAAGAAAACAGGATACTTTTTCATGTAAGTACATTGCACAGCACACACTTACTATATCAAGAATATGAAAGGTTAGGTTTACATACTCTTTAGGACAAAATGTAATTTTTTTCTGGTTACAGCTTAGGTACAGTTCACATTCTAGATGTTCTCTATAAGATAGCAAAGCTTCACTTTTTGGTTCAGGGTATACTTGCTGCATGCTTGCTCTAGGGCGGTCACTACTAGCAAATTAACCAATGAGGGCAGCAGTCTCATTATACTGTCAAAACAAGTCAGCAATGGCAGCTCCCATATTTTTACATTGACAGGTTCCCTTGAAATAGAACAGCTGGAATCAGTTCATAAAATAACATGCGGCTGTGCTTCATGGTTTGAATCATAAATTAAGGTATTTTATATACATTGTAGGCAACAGAATAGGCCCCTTGAGCTTTGCCTGTCATTACATAGCTGACAGATTCTAGAATCAGATATAATAAGATATCTACAGCCACTTACGCTCAGTTCACCTTGCTATTATAAAAATTCATTGCCTGAATACAGACTGTGATCATGGCTACAATGTGCATGACCCAGATAGGCCTTTTAAACTGCTAATCTTAATCATAGAGGCTTGCCGCTTCGAAAATGGCAAGAGCTGAATTTTTAGCTACCTATATAGGCAGAGTGGGTTTGTAACAGATTTTGGCTCTGAGATACTGGAATTGATACGTTTCAATGAAAACTCTTGGATTTTCAGCATTAATTGTACTGTACTGCACAAGCAAGAGTACAGTGAAGGGAACCTGGGCTCAGTGCTGGATTACCAAACAGGCACTGTGAGTAAGCAGTGGTGTATGGGCTTCATGCTGTCTAAAGGCCCCTATGACAACTGATCAAAATAATATTGATTTGATCTGGAAAGAAAATTACAATGGAGCTTTTTTTTTTTTTTTTTTAAAGAGAAGTATAGACAGAGCCCCGCCGGCTCTGCAGTGAAAACTGAGTAATCAAACAACGCTGTTCGCTCAGTTCTCCCCTCCACTTTGAGCAGAGAGCTATGACTGTCAGTCTCCAGCTCTCTGCTCCTCTAGTGCTCACTGGAGAACTGGGCTTTGGAGGGGGCAGGGGGCGGTTGACTCAGGCTCTCGGTGGATCGCTGAGAGGCTTAGCCAGTTGCTGGTCCAGGCATCTTAGGTTCAGTTCACACTAGAGTTGAAAGCAGGCACACTGAAGTGTAAGTGTAAGTAAGCGTCGCATCGCATTAAAATTGACACCTCATGTCAAGTCAGGAGGAGTTGAAGCCTTTCAGTGCCTCCCATTCAAGTCTATGGTGACACTCCTCAAATGCCTGGCAGGCGTTTGGGAGGCGTTGATACCATTAAGTTCATTATAGGCATTTGTAGTGCGGTTTTAATGCTTGTAAAATGCCTATAAAACACCTCAAAAGCTGCGCATAGGGCATTTGGGGAGCGTTTTTAATGCTTGTAAAATGCCTGTCTAACACCTGTCTAACACTATAGGGGCATTTGGGAAGAAGTCAAGTGTGAACAAGCCCTAACTGGATCCTGACCATAACGTCTCCATTAAAGATAGAAAAAAATCATCAATTCAAAGAAACAAAAACATTCACTTAAAGACTCTTTCAAGAAAATACTGTACTGTACCCAATAACAACTTGAAGTGATATTAACTTGTTGCCGACCGCAGATAGCCGAATGACGGCTGCACTGCGGCCGGCCAGTTCTGAGTGGACGTCATATGACGTCCTCCCAGAACGTGCTCTCCTGCGCGCCCCAGGGGGCGCGCACCCGGCGATCTCCGTGATCGCTGTGTCCTACGGACACAGCTGATCACGTGATGTGGTAAAAGGCCAATCACAGCGGCCTTTTACCACGTGATCAGCGGTGTCCAATGACACGCTGATCAGAGGGAAATGCAAGTGCCCGTTCTCGGCTGCACTTTCCTCACGCCGTCAGATCGTGAGGAAAGTACTGCCGAGAACCGGCAGTTGTCAGAGCGAGGATCGGCACCGATCATCAGGGCACTGATGATCAGTGCCCTGATGATCGGTGCCCAGCAGTGGCACCCGCAAGTTCCGCCCACCTGTGCCCAGCAGTGCGCCCACTAGCTCCGCCCACCTGTGCCCAGCAGATCACCCACCTGTGCCCAGCAGTGCACCCACCTGTGCCACTCTGCAGTGTCACACACCTGTGCCCAGAAATGCCACCTACCTGTGCCCAGCAGTGCCACCCACCTGTGCCCACCCACCTGTGCCCACCAGTGCCACTCACCTGTGCCCACCAGTGCCACCCACCTGTGCCCACCCACCAGTGCCACCCACCTGTGCCACCCACCAGTGCAGCCCAGCAGTGCTGCCAGTCAGTGCCACCAGTCAGTGTCCAGCGGTTGTGCCAGTCAGTGTCGCCAGTCAGTGCCCAGCAGTGATGCCAGTCAGTGCCGTCTATCAGTACCCATAATCAGTGTCACCTATCAGTGCCGCCTATCAGTGCTGCATATTAGTGCCGCCTATCCGTGACACCTCATTAGTGCTGCCTATCAGTGCCGCCTATCCGTGCCACCTCATTAGCACTGCCTATCAGTGCCCTTTAGTGCTGCCTATCAGTGCCCATCAGTGCCGCCTATCAGTGCCCATCAGTGCTGCCTCATCAACGCACATCAGTGAAGGAGAAAAATTACCTGTTTGAAAAATGTTATAATAGAAACAAAGAAACTTTTTTTTTTTTTCAAATTTTTTGCTTTTTTTTATTTATAGCGCAAAAAGTAAAGCGCCCAGTGGCGATTAAATACCACCAAAAGAAAGCTCTATTTGTGAGAAAAAAATGATCAAAATTTCATATGGGTACAATGTTGCATGACCACGCAATTGTCAATCAAAGTGCGGCAGCGCTGAAAGCTGAAATATGGCCTGGTAAATAAGGGGGTATAAGTGCCTGGTAGGCAAGTGGCTAAAGGCAAAAACCCCCCAAACAAACATGTCAAGGTTTTGGAGGCTAGTAGTCATTCGAAACCTTGTCTCCCCCTTCGTAAATTTTTTTCCTAGTACATTTAGGTATTACAATTGTGGTATAGCAGCACGCAAGCCTTTACTATTTGTATTTCTAATTTTACCAACCCAATATTCTACTAGAATCTGGAGTTAGCTGGAACTCACGACACACTAACTCACAGAAGGCTTAGTTTCTGCAGGTTTGTTGTGCGGTTTGTTGTGGGAGAACTAAGTAGTGTGTACGTAGGCCACTAGATGCAGGTGACCATCGTTACTGTACATTACACATACGTAGGTTGCACCACATTTTTTACAAACTGACAGCTGAAAAAAGATTAACTTTTAGGAGACAAACTGTAATGTGAACCTGATGTGTATGGTTTATGTATGTTAAAGTGGTTGTAAAGGCTCAAGGTTTTTGCATTCTATGCATGAAGGTAAAAAACCTTCTGTGAGCAGCAGCCCCCCTAATACTTACCTGAGCCTCATCCCAATCCAGAGATGTGCACGAGAGCCTTGGGTCTTTGTGGACTCTCCCTCCTCATTGGCTGTGACAGCAGCAGATGCAATTGGTGTGAATGGACACGCAGAGCAGAATCAAGCTGCTTGCTTTGGGGGCACTAGGCAGGAGGGAAGGGCCAGAAGCACAGGCAGAGGACCCGAGAAGAGTATGATCGGGGCTGCTCTGTGCAAAACCACTGCACAGAGCAGGAAAGTATAACATGTTTGCTATATTAAAAAAATGCCTGTAGCCTCCCTGGCGGTATTCCTGAGGGTAGCTCGGGGTAAATTTTCAGTACCACAAGCGGTAACCCCGAGCTACACTTGGGAATACCATGCGGCGCTGCTCCGCGATCCCTCAGTCACTTACCTTGTCCCCGGCAATGTAATCCGGCGGATGCCGGCATCTGTCATCTGGGTTCCATCCTCTGCGAGCATCGGGACGTACAGGGGACGGAACAGCGGGAAATTTGAAAATGACAAAAAGTGACATTCACTAAAATCACTAAAATCACATAGTATAACATTACTGTATCAAACCATTTCACATACATTTTGTCCCGAGTGCTTTGTCCTGTGCCCTGCCTGCATTTTTACTGTTCTTTCTGCCTGGAAACTGAGAAACGTCCATGGCGTCCAAAAAGTGTCCCTTTAGGTCAAAAGTGGTTTTAGACCAGCTAGAGAACAGCGATAGTAAATTAGAACTACTTGCAGAATTGAGTGATAATGATTCGTGGGGAAATTCCTCATCAGACACTGAAAACGATTTTGCGACTTTGCTTAGTGATGTGCGAACTTGGCGCTATATTTCAAATTTCAGTGTTTTTGGTTTGATTATATTATTGAATTAAATTTAATATTATTATATTATTATTTTTTATGATTATTTATTAAATTATAATTTATGATTTTGTGTTTCAAGTTTTCTCCTACCCGGGATGTTTACTAGACTCTTGTTCGGACAGATTTCAGTGAGTTATTCCTAAGAATTACAGGCCTACAATATAAAACGCCAAATTTCCATGCAAAATAATGGTACCGCTTTCAGCACCAAAAATCTGAAATAATCATACCGTCAGGGAGGTTAATATCACTTCAAGTATCCTACACACGTGTTTAAATTAAATTATACCTGGGAGCATGTTTTACAATTCAAAGCTAAGACATACGAAATAAGGGTTAAAATGTGAGTTTTTCTGTGAAAGGGTTATAGGTCTTACTGGATTGGTGTTTGAAGGTCAGATGAACAGAATGGAGCTCCAAAGACATTTTCTGTGAAGGTTACTGGGTATTCATTTCGGAAAGCTGAAGTGAAGAGGAAAGTTTTCCCACCTACGCAACCAACCACCTTCCCTCAATGTGTGGTTCATTGTAAGTCAAGAATTGGTAGGAGGCATAAAAAAATGCCACAGCTTCCATTTGGTTATTTATTGGTAGCTATCCCAGAAGCTAGGTCACCTGGAAAAAAGTAAGAACATCTTCAAACTGTTTGGGCCATAGCTGAGAACATGGATGATTCTTTGTAACGTACATGTAAGATTTGAGTAGCTAAGATGTGATCTGTAGAAATATGACAATGTAGGTTTAGCTTCAGTCCATGTTATAATAATATAAGATGTGTTCAGAATTAAGTCAGAGACATATGGTCACCAATTAGCATCTGAAGGGACAGAGTATCCTATAGACTGGAGGTGACACCTGGATGCCAATAAGATTTGTCACCTTCTGGAAATCTGGAAGGAAAAGGCTCTATAGACAGTTCGGCTTCATGACACAGCAGGAGACCAGAGGTGGTTCTAATGTGTCTGGGAGCTTTGAGGTGTTTATACACAGATCAAAGGAATATATTTCATCTCTCATAAAAGCTAAAATTTTAGTTGCAGAGAGATGAAAATATTTCCTTCTGATTGGGCACACTGTAGGCTACATCTGCATGTAAAACTGTATTTGTAGCCTATGTAGAATCCCAGAGAAATGCAGACAACGGTTATATGGCGCCTGATTGCAACAGCTGAACAGTGATTGGTACTGTCGCGATCGGACTGATGCGCTGGTGTCAGAAATTCTATCCCTGACTTGGTGATTCAAATCGTTCCTGGTCCAATTGACTTTAGGCATTTCAGTACCCAGAACGTCCTGTGGGCTGATACAGGAACACCCCCCAGAGTCGATTGGCCAAGGGCTAATGTCCAGCCTACGTACATATTCCCATAAATTGAGGACCTGAGATATGGACAGTTTGATTCATAAGGAACCAGTTCTATTGACTGGCGGATCGTGGACATTCTCTGACTTGCTCCAGTCGCAGGATAACTCTTGGTAAAAGTTTTATTTCTGTTTTTATTCCCTTTTATTTTATAGTCAATAGCCAATTGTGTGTCTTTTTGTATTTTTTGTATTATTTGTAACTCTTTATACTTTGTACATATTTTATGCACTGCCCACTTTCGGGATATTAAATCATAAAATTAATAAGTGACTTCTGGGTTCTTAAGCTCGGGCTCATATCTCTGGAGAGATTAGATTGTATTGTATTGCAGTGTCTTTATATGCTTGATCAAGTTCATTGCCAATCTGTATGCAATTGCACTGCGTGTTGGCAGATTGCATGCAGATTGTAAAGGTAACATATCTGCCAGACGGAGATCTGTGTGTGTGTGGTGGCCCAGCAGGCCAGTCTGCAGATAAAACTGTTAGGTGGTGGCAAGCTACCATTTGTTGTGTGTCTGGTGTGAGGGTGTGTGGACAGCTGCAAATACAAGTCAATGGATTTATGCAGCTATAGTCATGTAAACAGTTATCACTTTTGCATCCCCAAGCATGAAAGAAACATAATTGTGGAAATATGGTGCTTGCACAAGTAAATACAAGGCAAAAATGACTGATTTTTACACAGTTTTGGCTGTCTACAGGCAATTCACCTGTATTGGTGGTTGTACACAACACCTTTGGCTCCCTGGGCGCTGGAAAATGCTTGGGATTATGGGCTTGATGACTATTAAGCCAATAAACATCCATCTAGATGTGTCCTAATATAGTGATTTCCTATGATCATCTGCTCCATCTAGTGGACACAATACAGTATTTTTCCTGAAATGCCTCAACCAGGAAAAATACTGCAATACCTCATTATGGCCACTAAAAGGGCTCTGACAATCATAGAAAATCACTGTATTAAAGCGGAGCTCGACCCAAAAGGGGATGTTCCACTTCAAGCCTTTGTCCCTCGCTCCCCCTTAAGGATTGGCACTTTGGGGAGTGGGTACCTGAATTTGACAGGTACCCGCTCCCACTTCCACTGCGATCGCCTAGGCCATTCCCAAAGCGCAGCGCTTCTCGCACATGCGCAGTGGGCAGCCAACTGTGAAGCCGCAAGCTGTCACAGCCAGGTGCCCACACTGAAGATGCCTGCGCCAGGGGAGAGAAGACGGCCGGTGAAACCAGGCGAGGTGAGAACACCACTGGACCGAGGGACAGGTAAGCGGCTGTATTTTAAGAGTCAGCAGCTTCAGTTTTTGTAGCTGCTGACTTTTCGTTTTTTTTTTTTTTTTAGGTGAAACTCCGCTTTAAGCTAAGAACCAGATTTTTATCAAGGTGGGATGAATGCACATTTGTCCAACAATTTTTTTGATAAGCAGACCCCTAGGTGTTAATATTACAGGCACACAGGTTTATGTGTTAAGAGTAGGTAATATTAAGGAATGGGATTCATGGAAGAAATAGGGTTAAATGTTAAGACTTCATTAAAGTGTTACTAAACCCACAACAGTAAAATCAGTCTGTATATGCAGTAAAGCATGCTTGTTATACTCACTGTGGAACCTAAGGGGTTAATCCTCTGCATTGTGTAAAAACAGCTGTTTGATCCTGACTTTTGTGATCCTCTCCTTCTTCCAGTGTCCCCCTCTTATCTCCTGATAAGACATATTCTGTGGAGACATACTGCACATGCTCAGTTTG